TGTCTATGCAGGTCCACGTCGTCGTATAGCCCCCATATAACGGTACCTTCCGATATTCGGTATTTTGATGATTTTAGCGACATTATTCACCGGAATTGTTTCAAATTTGGTATTCGAAATTCGAGAGGGATACTACAGACTAATACAGAAAATTGTATATGCAGGTCCACGTCTTCATATAGCCCCCATATAACGGTACCTCCTGATATTCGGTATTTTAATGAATTTAGCGACATTATTCACCGGAATTGTTTCAAATTTGGTATTCGAAATTCGAGAGGGATACTACAGACTAATACAGAAAATTGTCTATGCAGGTCCACGTCTTCATATAGCCCCCATATAACGGTACCTCCTGATATTCGGTATTTTGATGATTTTAGCGACATTATTCACCGGGATTGTTTCAAATTTGGTATTCGAAATTCGAGAGGGATACTACAGCCCAAGACAGAAAACTGTCTATGCAGGTCTACGTCCGCATATAGCTCCCATATAACGGTACCTCCCTACATTCGGCATTTTGATGATTTTAGCGACATTATTCACCAGAATTGTTTCAAATTTGGTATTCGAAATTCGAGAGGGATACTACAGACTAATACAGAAAATTGTCTATGCAGGTCCACGTCTTCATACAGCCCCCATATAACGGTAACTCCTGATATTCGGTATTTTGATGATTTTAGCGACATTATTCACCGGGATTGTTTCAAATTTGGTATTTGAAGTTCGAAATGGATACTACAGCCTATGACAGAAAATTGTCTATGCAGGTCCACGTCGTCGTATAGCCCCCATATAACGGTACCTCCCAAAATTCAGTAATTTGATGATTTTATCGTCTAGGATCTACAGTCTGTGACAGACAATTGTCTATGCAGGTCCAGGTCCCATATATCAGTACCTCCCTATATTCGGTATTTTGACGAGTTTAGGTACAATACCCACCGAAATTGTTTGAGATGTCGTATTTGAACTTCGTAATGGATGCTACAGCCTATGACAGAAAATTGTCTATGCTGGTCCAGGTCTTCGTATTTTAAGTTTTCGGATTTGAATATGGTAATGGCTTATGACAAACAATGCCTATGTAGGTCCAAGTCGTATAGACTCCAATAAAACGGCTATATTCGGTATTTTTAAAATGTAAACAGAATTTTTTAAGGATTTTATCTTTTGAAAATTTCCAAATTCGTTCCAAATAGTGGAGGGTATTCAAAACTTAATGCTTTTTAACTTGTTTTATATTATCCTGTATATATATGCAACATCGTAGTCAGAAACGTCTGTCCTTCTCTACACTTCTGAGTTTTACAGTGTCAGGGCGATATAATTTCGATACTTTCAGGTTTATATAATTAAAAAAAAAAATTATGCTTTATTTAAAAGTCCTTCACAAATAGGACGAAACCTTTATTTTTTGGGGTTTTCCATTCATCGGTTTTATATGATTCACTTTTAAATTTTTTAGCTTCAAAACAATGCAGCTAAAGCAATGAAAATAATTCCGTACAACTTTTACTTCGATTTGCTGCATATCACGTGACTAAAGAATTATTTTAATTTCTATAACGTTCATGAAGTCCAAACGCAATGGTTAAATTAAATGAGTTCTAAATTACACTGCTGTAAAAAGTAATTCCAATTGTTTTATGCAGGGCATTTTTGATTTTCACTTCCTTTCACTTACCGAAAACATCGTCAATATTACTTATAATGTGATTAAAGAATTGACGATTATCCATGTTGTTTTCGAAACAAATTCATAAATAAAAATGTTTTATTCTAAGCAATTTAAATTTACAATTCAACTATTGCCTACTTAAAACGAATTCTCTCTCTTCCTCTGTAGAGTCATATAATTGCAGATGAAAAAAATCGATAACAATAACACAACACGATTTGAAACAATGTTCGGCTATATTGTACAAACGGAAAACGTTTAATTTTCTTTTGCAACTTATCCGTGGGACAATTTGTGATTGACACAACCGATGGACAAAACTTTAAAACAACGACTAACTGCATGGATTTTAAAAATGTAATTCATGACCTGTCTGTCATACGACAACGACAATTGACATCGATCCGTGCACCAATGTCATCCTTCCAACACCTGCCACCCCCAACCCCATGTAGCCTTTTTGGTATCCATGACCCATGTTGGTCATACAAGTTTAAGGTTGACCCCCAATGGGGGGAGGTGACATTGTCTGCAGAAGGTGGCTACCAATCAAACATTATTTATAATTTAAAGCGCTGAACAAACAACCGAACTAAATGCCGCCAGAGAACATAAACTTATGAACGAGATTGGTAACAGGAAAAGGTGAAGACAACAAAATCACGCACACAATAAAGAAACTTCCAGAAATATGATAACAGGTAATAAATAGACCCTAATTTATTTAATATTTTAATTGAATATTTAATTTATTGGGGAAATAGAGGAAATAATTTGGGGGTGTGATTCGTAGATGCACGTAAATCGATGACCCTGAAATATGGAAGGAAATGTTGGGGTATTGGGACGACAGAATTGTTGTCTTTAAAATAAAAGAAAGGTAAGTACATTCAAAAGTTAGTTCTGTCAATGTAGGAGCTCTATAGGCAGGAGACCTTCTTGAAATCTTCTATAGAAAAAGAGGCCTTCTAGAGGTCGTCTAAAATGCGTTTTGGTTATTCACAATCAGAAGAAATGGTCCGATCTCTTCCATTGTCATACTAGATCTTGTGTTGTGTAGAAATATTTATATGTTCCGAGTTTGAATGGAATCATGGATATTACAATTTTGACCTTTTCTGGGGGAGGTACCAGAAGGAGTGGACCAAAATATCTCATCTTTACACCAGATCTTGTGTCAATGAAAATATTGTGATGTGTGAATTTGAATACAATCGTACTATTGTGTCAAGTTTTAAAAGATTTAAAACTGTTGAACCTATGTAAGGGAGGTACTTAACGGAGTGGACCATATTTGCACTTGTCTTAGCACTCATGCAAACATTAGGATAAGTAAAGTTGGTGCAAAATCGAATGATCCTTTCCTTTTTGTGCAGTAAAATAGTATCTTCAAACATTTCGAGTTTTGTGGATATAAAAAGCAGAACTCTTAGATGCCGTCTACAGGTATCATACATGGGTATGATATGTCCTTCTATAGTTTTAAGATTTCATAGCGGACTTCTTTAGATAGATAACCTATCAAAGACCTTCTAAGAATATATGATCTCTCAGAGATATATTTTTTAATAAAGACCTATCCGAGGTCTTTAATAAATAAAATGCCACTCAGAAGCCTTATCAAGGTGCCATCTATTGGGAAAAAACCTTTCCATGGCTTGCTATAGATAAAATAGTTCTCAATGACCTTCTTTAGATAGAATACGTCTCGTAGGCTTTCTTTATATCTTAGAAACTTTCTTTAGATAAATGAGCACTAAGAGGCCTTCTTATTTGGATAAAATACCTCCCAGAGAACTTCTATTGATATAAGATCTCTCAGAGACCTTCTAAAGATAGAAGACCTCTCAGCGTCCGTATATAAATATAATACCTCCCAGATGTCTTCAAGATATAAGACCTCTTACTTACATTCAATATGTATACCACCTCTGAGGTAGTTCTATAAATAGACGACATCTGAAAGGCCTTCTATAGATACTAGAGGTACCAGAAGGAGTATTTATATCTCCTTCCTTCTATAGATACTAGAGGTACCAGAAGGAGTCTTTATATCTTAGAAGCCTTCTTTAGATAAATGAGCACTCAGAGGCCTTTTTATTTGGATAAAATACCTCCAGAGGACTTCTATGGATGTATGATCTCTCAGAGACTTTCTAAAGATAGAAGATAGTGATATTCAATGTAACCTCTGAGAGAACTACCATAGATAGAAGATATCTGAAAGGCCTTCTATAGATACAAAACATCTCAGAGGCCTTCTAAAAAAATTTCGTTTAGAAGACCTTTGAAAAGAGGTAAATCGTTTACAATTCTCTTATAGGTTTAAACCAATCAAGGGTCTTCCATAGATAAAAGGCCTCCAGAAGTTTCCTATAAAGCAACGACTTTTAGAGATCGCCTATGGAGATAAAATATTCACAGGTCTTCTAGCAAATTTCGTTTTCATGCCTTTTATAGAGAGAAGACCTTATAGAAATATTCTGAAGAAAAAAGATTTTTGAGAAATTTTCTTCATCAAAAGAGAAACTTTCTTGGCCTCCTATAATTGTAATATATGGCTTTGTTCGAATCGATTTGAGCCCCCTTCATTTTCATACGAGCCAAAAAGTATGCAACGTTTAACTGGTTTTGTTTTTTTTTTTTTGTTGTTGTGTAATTATTGCTAATTAATTCAATAACTTCGATGTTAAACTCTAAACTCGTTTGGTTTGAAAGGTTCAAATCAAAAAAAAATCGAATACTTTAATATTATCGCCAGATAGGCAAAATCGAGAGATCGTATTGTCGATTATTTTTGTTGAAGGTAAACATCGGAAAGTCTTAAAGTGGACTCTTATATAAAACTACGAATCCCTAAATTTCATGGCTCAATAAGAAAAGCATTTTGAAAAAAAAAATCCTGAAAGCAACCTCTTTTTAAATTAAAGAGAAAAAAAAAATAAAATAAAAATCATAAAATTTGTCACGCTAAAAATAAAATAGCAATTATTTTCATTCCTCATTTAATAAAAACAGAGACAATAAAAAGCAATTGAATAAACAAACAAAAAATGTAAAAGAAATACAAATGAAAAAGCATTTTAAAAGAACACACATTTGCGATGACACCCCATTGTTGGTCAATTAAAATTAGAAAAAGGGGGAAAAAATAAAACAACACATATACATGATGCCAATACACACACATACACATGCAAGCACACATTGAAAATGAAAACTTTATGTAATTATCTCTAAAAAAAAACACAAATTCAAAATAAACCCCAACCAACATGAAATCCCAAGATAGACCAAATATTTACCCACTTACCTTGATCACTCAAAAGTTGTTCTTCCAATTCTTCGGCACCGAAATTCTTCAAAAGTAGACCATAATTAAATGTGTCCTTCATATCATTATCGGCCAAATATTGTTCGGGGGTTTTGTCAAACTGAAAGGAAGAATATTCATTATTTAACAAAGGTTGATGTTAAATGTGAATCCTTGTTTTATTTTACTCCATTATTGATTACTCAATTTTTATTCCTTTGTGAAACAAAATAACCTACATTACATGACCAGGTGTCAATTCCCAGGAATTGTCATAAAGGCCTTTAACATTTTGTTCACACCTTTTCACGTATGTATATATTTTCTGAACAATTTTTATTGTGTCTAGGATGGTTGGTATTGAAAATGATATTGAAAATGGTATTGATATATAGGTATTGAAAATGGTATTGATATATCGGTCCACGTTTTGGAATAGTTTCCATATAACGGTACCTCTAGATATCCGGTATTTTGATGATTTTTTCAACATTTTATCACGGATTTGTCTAAAAATTGGTATTTTAGCCCCCATATAACGGCAACTCCCGATATTCGATATTTTCATGATTTTTGGCAATTTATTTCACGGATTTGTCTAAAAATTGGTAATGGGTTCTAGTTTTGTTGGCGAAACATTGCATGTGTAGGTCGCATGTGTAGGATATTCAGTATTTTGATGATTTTAACCACACTTTTTAATGGAATTGTCTTTATGAGTATTTTTCAATAGAATTGTGTGAAAATTCGCACAAGTAGTTCCGTGTGAGTGCTTTATCCCCTAAAAGGTCCACGATATTGTATGGCCCCCATATAACGGTACCCCCGATATTCGGTATTTTGACGATTTTAGCCACATTTTTCAACGGAATTGTCTGAAATTGTACACAAGGGGTTCTTTGTAAACTCTTTACCCCCTGACAGAGAATTTTCTATATAGCTTAACGATATCGTATAGCCCCTATATATCAGTACCCCCGGTATTCGGTATTTTGATGATTTTTGCCACATTTTCCAACGCAATTGTCTGAATGTCTACATGAGGAGTTCTTTGTGGTTACTTTATCCACTAAACGAAAGTTGTCTATATAGGTCCATGATATCGTATATCCCCCCATATAACAGTATCCCCCAATAATCGGTATTTTGATGATTTTAGCACCATTTTTCAATGGAATTTTCAGAAATTCTACATAAGGAGTTCTTTGTGAGTACTTTACCCCCAGACATAGATTTTTCTATATAGGTCCACAATATGGCATATCCCCCATATATCGGCAACTTCCGATATAAGGTATTTTAAAAATTTTAAAAGAATTGTTAATGGATTTTATTTTTTAAAAATTTTGTAATTCGTTCCTAATGTTGGAGGGTATTCAAAGTTCGGCCCGGCCGAACTTACTTCTTTTTTAATTGTTTTTACTTGTTTTAGCTCCTACTGCTGAAAAAATCAGTACCCTTTTACACTTTTCGTGCAATTTTAATGCGATGTTGAAAACCTCTTCAAAAAATTCAGATTTCAACATCAATTCTTTCACCAAATACGAATGGTACAATAATTAGCACATTTCGTAATTTTTTAGATTGAAAATCCAGAAACGGTTTACAGTCCTTTAAATCTGAAATATGGTATTAAGATCGATGTTCATGTGTAGCCTGCACATATGGGGGTAGTTTCACAATTTTACGAAAAGTATTGAATGGTACTATATTTTGTATTGGGTGAAGGGATAGAGATACTTTTCTGAAATTTGATATTTTGATAAATGTTCATATCTGATGCGTCCTATTTTTGTATGAAAAGTACTGTATGGTACTAAATTTGGAATTGGATGAAGGGATAAGGCTGGAATCCCAAAATTCGATATTATATATAAAAATAGTAAAAGTATTTGTACAATTATGGTGAACAATTTTAGGAAAAGTACTAAATATTACTAAATTTGTTATTGGGGCTAAAATCTGAGAGCCTTTTTATTTATTTTTTTTATACATTAGTGTTCCTCATATCAAATTTTACAGTTTAATGTAAATACACATTCATTTAATATCATATTCTAAAATTTTCCGATCACCAATTATTAACGTTATCAAGTTGGGTACCTTTTGGTACATTTAGTGTACGAATTAAAATGTTATCTCCATATATGTTTCCCTGACCAATCTACCCACGGTAATTTCAAAATACTAGCATTATCTATTTACCAAATAAAAAAGTAAACAAGTACGCAAAGGCTATAGTCGTGCGGGGCCGACCATGTGATACCCTACAACACTACAATATGTTCGAAGCCCCCTTATGTCCAAATCCATTTTGGAAGATTTCGCTTTTGAAATTATGTGACGGAGCACTGCCAGATATTACCCTCAGCATTTTGACCAGGGACATTTGCCCAATGTTTACGCACTCCGTCGTATTTTGCGATCATCTCCAAAAGCAAGAGGCCCCTCTGTATCTCCAAATTTAGACTCTTCTATACGATCTTCTTGCCTACGATATTTGGCTATATTCGTCAACGAAATCAGCAAAAAAGGCAGAAGTTCGCATTTTGTGTATTTCGGCTATCGCCTGTAAGTAATGTTGGTAATTTTCAGACAAAAGTAGTGAACCATTCTACCCGCTGTCCTAAACCCTAACTTCATGCGAGATTTCGTGTCCCTTTATGACCTTTATAACGGCTGCAAAATCAGGAACATTTTTAGTTGTTGGTCCATTTCAACCCCTAAATATATTGCGGACATCTTTGAAAACAATAGGCCAAGTCCTTCTGAGCCTAACCCTACCCTTTTCGTGAGGATCGGACGATAATTGCAATCTGTATATAATATCCCAAAACTGTGTTGTAAGGTGGAAAAATATTACACCTTAATATTATAAGTCAAATTGAAAAAATCGCATGTGATAAAAAATATGAAAAAATAAAAAAATGTCACAAAATATTAAAAAATCTATATTAAGATAATTTTTGACTTATTTTTATGCGATTTTTTTAAATTATATACTTTTATGTCCAGAGGGCATTTTGAATTGACAAAATTCGTCAAAATCGGTCCAGCCATTCTTGAGATATAAGCATTCCATCTAACATTCCTTTCCTTTGTATATACACATTGTTTATATTTCGCTATATATATCCGATATATTTACTATCGGCATCTACGTAACGGTCAGAATTGACCTGTTCGTCTATTTATGATATCGCCGGGACTAAAAATATTCGCGGTATAATGGAAATTTGACTTTTATTTAACACAAATGTTATAGTCTTTTTCACCCACTAAATATTACCCGATGACCATCAAAATCGGAAGGCTTCTGCCCAGCCCGAGGCTTTAGCCCCATGCTAATTTTCGCGTCGATTGGTCAATAATTGCGACCTGTAGAGCAACTGCAAAATCAGGAAATTTTTCAGTATTTGGTTCATTTCAACCCCTAAATGCGATCATCTCCAAAAGAAATAGGGTTCTATTCTGACCTTATCCCCACCTTCATTCTAAATTTCGTAAGGATCGGGCCATAATTGCGACCTGTAGCGTGGTTACAAATTAACATGGACAGACGGACAGACGGACGGACGGACATACATAGCTAGATCGACTCAGCTCGGCGAGCTAGGAAGATCCATATATACTTTCCTATATGGGAAACCAATATTTCGAGGTGTTACATAATTTTTGGCCCAATCAAACATATAATACCCCCAACACAAAGTGTTGTAGGGTATAAAAATCTGTAAATTCGGCCGGTTCGAATTTTGAATAACCTCCACCATTTGGAACGAATTTGGGAATTTTCAAATAAATAAAATCTGTTAATTGTTTGTGTGTTTTAGCTTCTTGACCTTAGGTTTCATATACAAATTAAAACAAAATTATTTTATTTTGTATTTGTCAGTCACTGACAACATAAGTTCGTGCTATGGAGTGGCAATAAAGTAAAAAACTGTGATATTAATTTTTAAGTAGTGTAGTTTATTATATGTTCTATGTAAACTCGTCTTAAAAATTATATTACGAATTCCCCAGAAGAAGTCGCCAAAACAGCGACGAAACGTCGGGAATAAAATACAAAATAAAATAATTTTGTTTTAATTTGTATATGAAACCTAAGGTCAAGAAGCTAAAACACACAAACAATAGAAATAATCATTGGCCAAAAAATAACAACAAAAAAATCTGTTAAAATTACGGTCTAAACGACGACGTGGACCTGCATAGGCAACGTTTACAATATTCAAATGCGAAACTTTAAAACAATTCGGTGAATATTGCCGCTAAAATCATTCAAATACCGAATATAGGGAGGTACCACTATATGAGGATAATAATTTTCTGTTATTGGCTGTAGTACCCTGAAATTTGATATAGATGTAACATTTGGTATCTTTGCTTAATATATTTGAACGAAAATTACTAAATTAAATGAATGCACAGAACTGGAATCCTGAAATGTGATATTGAGGAATCTCTTGGTATCTTGTGTTGAGAGCTGGTGGTTGTTTTGCAAATGCATTTTGTAATTGTTCCAAAAGTATAAAATTATACTAATTTTAAATCACTGTTGATTTCTAGAATATAGAGATCTAGATTGTATTGGAAATGTGTACTAACTGTTAGCTGAGAAGAGCTGAAATTCAGAAAATTGATATTAAGGTTACTGTTGTTTTCTAGGGCTTACATATGGTGACGTTGAAATAGCTTTGGACAAAAAAAATTGGAGGTGACTTTATTAGTCCTGGGTGAATCTGCCGGGTGGGAAAACATTAAAACTTTTCAGTGTATGCTTTTATTTGTCTATGACTCGACCTCACACTGATCTCCCAAATGTTATGATCTCCCAAATTCGCTTCCCACCGATTACATTTTTTCAGTGATTTAAAGTGCGTGTGTGTGTGTGTGTAGATAACTTGGTTTTCTGAGAACATACGTTCCTGCATTTCCTAGCACTGTTTCAAATTATACAGTTTGATGCATTTGACTTACATTGTCCATAGCTTTTGGATTTGCTCCCAACTGCTGGAGTACATTATAAAAATGTCCATTATCGCTTATAACTGCTGCATAATGTAGGGCGGTTCGACCATCATTATCTGTTACAGAGGTGGTTTCAGGGAATCGAGCAGACAAATATCGAACAATATCTGAAAGATACAATTGGAAAATAGATGACGATAATTTGTTCATTTGAAAAACCTATCGAACTTACCACTATGGCCAAATAGCACAGCTACATGTAATGGCGTTGCTCCATTTGGTGATATTTCATCTTTGGCTATGGCAAACTTTCGTCGATCTAGCGCCTGTTGCAAATTCAATAAACTACCGCCACGGGCAGCTTCGTGGACCCGACGAATTTTATCCTGGAAGCGATATAATTGTTTAATAATTTTTAAATATTTATACTACTATAGTGGCCACGCTTTATTTTATCAAATGTGGCGCCCAATATATGAATGACTCACCATATAATTTGGTACATTCCTCAGGAACGCCTGAATTTCCGATTCTTTGGCTTTGACATTCAATAGCTTCTGACCATCCCCATTCAATACGATTTGGGCCAATTGTTCCATATCTCCAGAAGCTATGATTCTATTGATACGTGACTCCTTTTGGGTGATTCGAATTTGTTTGGTTTTTTATTTTTGTTTTTTTTTTTTTTTTTTTTTTTTTTTAGAGGGGAATGAAGGGGTAGGGTTCGGTGATGATAAAATATGATGGCGTTAAGTATCAAATTAAATAGAATTTTGTTATCAAAACACACAAAATTGAAACGAAAAATAGTACATCTACAGGAAAAAGAAATCACAAAGGACAAAAATTAAAAAAGGGGTGCACAGTGCTCTAAAACGTGCTCGAAAATAAGATAACCTAATAAAAGGTAAAAAATTAAAGAGAAAAAGAATCAATTGGGAATGAAGAAAGCTTCTGGAATAGTAGGTGTATCTTCGTGGTGGTGGTGGTCGTGTGAGTGAGTGTCAAATGTCCCTGAAGAAATTAATTTCAAGGTGGCAAAGTTTCGAAAAGTGCACAAATTGACTAATCGACTGACAGTTCAGAGTTGTGACAGACAAGTGTGTGTGTATGTGTTCAGTTATGACAAGACACTACGCATGGATTGTTTTGTTAAAACTCATAAGAAATGAAAATATCAAATATTGTAACAGCATCAGAATTGTTTGTTTGCTGAGAGGAATAAAAATAAACAAACAGGACAACAATAGGAGTTTGTTTTCGAAAAGTTATACTTCATCATTATCATCTTCAACATAAGCAGCTTTATGTGACTGAACTGTATTATCATCGGCAACTCCCTCGACAAAACCTTCAATGGCCATTGATGAGGTGGGTGACTCAGTGCCATCGGCACCACCATCATCCTCAGGCTCTGCCTCGGCATTTTCCTCTTCGTTGTCGTCATCTTTTTCCGCTTCATTTTCATTATCTTTATCGGTTTCATTATTATCTACGTCGTTTTCCACGTCATTTTCGTTGTCCTCCTCGTCATTTGGTTCATTTTCTTCATCTTCTTCACCTTCTTCATCATTTTCTTTTTCATCGTCGTTATCATTTTCGCCGTCGTCTGCCGCCGCCTCTGCTTCAGTTTCCTAGGAAAAAGTGGGAAGATTTTTTTGGAAAGGAGTTCTTTTTGTTTTTGAATTTTATGGCCAATTTTAGCTAAAATGCAACAAATCTACGATAATCTCTAAAATGATCATGCACTAACTACTGACTACAGTACGAGTTCTGATCAATCAATCTTAGCTACAATCGATTCTACCAGTTGAATTGCCTAAAATTTAAAGCGTATTAACTACTCTTGTATCAAGGATAATGATGGGACTTTGGTACATAGCGAGTCGTGGCTGATTTTAATTTTCTGATTATTATACCATCCACCTTGGAAAGGAGGGTGTATTAACTTAACATTCCGTTTGTAACATCCTTAAATATTCGTCGTAGACCCCATAAAGTATATATATTCATAATCAGCATAAAATTCTATGTCGATTTAGCGATGTCCGTCTGTCTGTCTGTCTGTAGAAATCACGATACAGCCCACATTAGTTCACGTAGAGCGCCAAAATTTAGCTGAGCAATTTGTATTGTGCCTACGATGGTTGGTATTGAAAATGAGATATATCGGTTCACGTTCTGGTATAGTCCCAATATAACGGTACCTCCCGATATTCGGAATTTTGATGATTTATGCCACAATTTTTTTTATGGATTTGTCTGAAAATTGGTATTTGTAGGTCATAACGGGTCCCAGTGCGTGTGGCAAAACATTGCATATATAGGTCCACGTTTTTGTATAGCCCCCATATAAAGGTACCTCCTGATATTCGGTATTTTAATTTTTTTTGCTACATTTTTTCAGGGATTTGTCTAAAAATTGGTTTTTGTAGGTCATAATGGGTTCTAGCTCCTTTGGGAAACATTGCATGTGAAGTTCCACGATTTGGTATAGCCCCCATATGACGGTACCTCCCTATATTCGGCATTTTAATGGTTTTTGCCACATTTCTTCTAATGTTTCCTTTACCCTAAAGTTGAGGTTATTAGAAGTTTAATTGCAGTTGTTTGATTCAAAAGCTTTTCAATTTAACAAAAAACAAGTAAGCAAAGGCTACAGTCGTGCGGGGCCGACCATGTGATACCCTACAACACTACAATATTCCAATATCCATTTTGGAAGATTTCGCTTTTGAAATTATGTCACGGAGCACTGCCCAGATATTACCCTTAGCATTTTGACCAGGGACATTTTCCGCACTCCGTCGTGCTGTTAGTTTTTGTGGTCCATTTTACGGCTAAATATAATTCAATGGTCATCCAAAATGCTAGAATTCTTCACTGTGCTTAACTATCTTCTCAGGCGTGTCGATTGGCTTTACTATATTGAACCCATAAATATATTGCGATCATCTCCAAAAGAAATAGGGTTCTATTCTGACATTAACCCCACCTACATTTTAAATTTCGTTAAGATCGGGCCATAATTGCGACCTGTAGCGTGGTTACAAATTAACATGGACAGACGGACGGACGGACATACATAGCTAGATCGACTCAGCTCGGCGAGATAGGAAGATCCATATATACTTTCCTATGTGGGAAACCAATATTTCGAGGTGTTACATAATTTTTGGCCCAATCAAGCTTATAATACCCCCAACAAAGTGTTGTAGGGTATAAAAATGTTTGAAATGAAGTCTGGTCTATCTACCGTAATTAAAAGCCTCGAACAACCCACTAGGAATACTGGTGTTTGCTTAAATTGTAGGGGAATATTTGAAAACTTAAGTTAAGGAAACATCTTCGAAAACCCTAAATAGGATCAATTATTAAATAGGAGGTTTTTCCAAAATCGACTTCAAGTATTTTTTAAGTTTTGGACATGTTTCCAATTTAATTTCGCCAAATGTTGATATTTGGAGTTTTCATTACTTAGAAACTCTATGCACAAAAATGTTCAATATAGGTCCAGCTTTTAATCTCTAAACCTCTAATTTTATTTATTGTGGGGATCATGACATATTTTTCATAAAAACTATTAAAACTTGGTTATATGGTTTATTCTGAGATTTACAGCTCGTATTAATCGACCGTGGCATCAGAATAAATGCCGAATATTGTCGCGAAAATATTCTGGAGGGTGTATTAAAGCCTTGGGCATGCAAACATTTTGGCAGCAGACCTTGGACATTTCAACAGGACTCAGCACTATCGCACTCAGCACGCGCCACCCAAGAATGGTTACAAAATGAGGTTCCTCGCTTCATTACCAGCGCACAATGGTCACCAAAATCTCCGGATACCAATCCGTTAGACTATTGTGTCTGGAGTATTTTGGAAAGCAAGGTTGGCACTGAAAATTCGTGTGACGGTTTCATTGGCCGTTTGAAGGCCATAATTCGTGTCAAAGGTGACCAAATCGTACAAATCTAAACTTATTCTAAAATTTGATGCTATTTTGGCACATTTTTCAGTAAAATTAAAAAAAAAGGTAAAAACTATGGCGTTTGACTATAGTAGAATTTTATGACAAATAATTTCGAAGAATATTTTGATAAGTTCCATAAATTCTCCTATTACAAATGGTACCATATTTAGTACCTTTAGGTACACCTCACCTTCTAATTAAATAAAATATTTTATAAAACCTATCCCTTTTTTTTAATTTACTACCAAGTGTACCAAGCTTGGCTTCTACACTCATAGTTCTACTTTTGAAAATCACCTGCTTTTTGGCGTCTCTCAAACGGCAGTAACCTCCCAAGGAATTCTTGAAATTAGGGCTATGATTTTTTGTTCAGCCAATATCAATTTGATACTTTTCGCGCACTTTTAGTACGAATTTGCAACATTGATACAAGGATCTCAATTCTACACACCAATATTTCTTTCCAAAATTTTAATTTTCTAATTTTCAATATTACCAGTGGTGCAGAAAAAAATAATCAATTTTTTAACTATTTCTTCAACCAACATATTTTTTTAATACTTTCGTACATTTATAGTGCAACTAAGATATAATGATTTTTACCTAAAAAACTAGAAGTGTTCCCACTTTCAAAATTTTAAGTTCCTGTTTTGCCAGTAGTACAGAATAAAGTACCAATTTTTGAAAGTCCATACCTTATTTTCACCAAATACCCATTTAGTACACTTCCGTATTGTTAAAACTATATAAAACTGAGAATCGTAGATCTCATCCCTATTGTTTCCATTCCCAGTGCAAAAAGTGCCAGTTAATGCCAGTTGTACACAATTTAGTACTCAACATGTATCTAATCTTCACCTATTAGTTACTCTTAGATCAAATATTATATTTCGTTCTCTATTCGTATATCGAAAACGAATTCGTACATCGGATACCATGGTAAAACTTTCAGTACTTTTTAGTTCGAAAACCCTGAAACTGTTTTTTTTTTTTATTCAGGAAAATTTATTAAAACCTTTAAAATCGTTCGTTAAAGTTGCAAAACGGTAAAATAATCATGGTCTATATCCGAGAGAACCAAATTTGCAAAATTTAGCCCAATCTGTTAAAAACTTTGAATTACACTGAATATTGAATGCATTCTTCTCATTTAGGACCTTAAAATAACTCGTGTTCCACACCAAATAATTCGTGTGTGGTTGGAAAATGTATATAAATACTTAAAAGTCTCTCAAATGAGCTTAATTAATTATCAAAACTATAAATAATTATTATAAATAAATAATTAGAACTATATTAATGTACATTAATTATAATTACTTAAATGATTTTTTTTAAAAATTATTATTTTTATAGTGTTTATTTTTTTATTTATTTTTTTAAGTAAAAACCCAAATCGAATTATGTTTTTTAGCAAATTTCACTAAGTTCTTTATTGTGAATAATATTTACTATATAATATTTAATATGTAAAATTGCAAAATTCCCCACTATTGACATATTTACTATCATTTTTCTATGTCATAGGTACAACTCTAAATAAAATGAAATAAAATATTAAAGAAACTTGTCAGGGGTGTCATATCTCAAATACACAACTGACGCTAGAAAAAAAGCAAAAACTATCAAGCTATAGTTGCTTCGTTCATTTAGCAGCTATAAATTGCATGCCTAGATGCCATTCTAGATATGCGCTGAGTTTCGCGCCATGAAAAATAACGATTGTTTGACAGTTATGGCAAAATCAAAAATAAAAAAAATGAAACTAACTTTGAACGGAAGCTATTTCAACTATTTCTAGGTTGAAAGTCAATAAATTAAAAAAAAAATATATATATATATATGTTCATAACTTTTAATTTCATTTTAAGAAGAACTAGGAGGTAAAAATCAATAGTGGGAGTTATAGAAATTGAAAGTTATATATGAAAATGCATAAATGTTTATATTGGAAGGCGGGAATTTAAAGAAGTTGGGAATTTCCATGCGCTATGTAGAGAATTAGATATTATATTAACAGTTTACTTACAAGTGTTTCCATTATTGTGGTTTTAGATTTAAAAACCGCCTAGAAGTATGCTTTAATTAAGAAAACAAACTACCATGCGAGAGAAGCGAATTTAATGCATTCTTTTAATGGCAAATGTATTTTAAGGAAAGGCACTGAATATAAAATTTTTAAATTGCCCATAAGGGTGATAAAGATTTAAACCATATTTTCAATGGAGTTGCTTAAAATTTGCTGTAGTACATATACGATCCAAGTTATCCCAAACTTTTTTATATTTTAATGATTTTAGGAACATTTTGCGATTATTTGAATTTTGGTACTTGAAATTCGTTTTTGTTTTCATGACGATAGCATCCAATTTTCGGAAGAAATAGTTGGAAAGTCGACATTTGAACTTAATTATTTGGAACCAACCACTGTGGAAAAAATATATATTGCCCCGATTTTGTATAGCCCAGGTATGTGAACCTTGAATAGTCACCATCCAACGACTCACAGAGGGGTAAAGACACAAAAAAACGGAGATTAATTAAAAAAATAATAAAATTCTTCTTTGGGATAATTGACTATAACAGAACACAAAATGTTAATTTAGTATAGAAAATTTCAAAGTCGTAGATTTTTATTCTTTTAAATACACAGGCTAGACTTGAGAAATGCTTCACTTTATCGCAAGAAGAAGGAAAACATTTGTTTTCGGTATTTTAAAGTATAATAAAGTTTTTCCCCATCAGAAGCGATAATTTTAAAAAGAAAACATTGACTATAGGAAGCTATTAATGTTTCAGAATAAAAATTTGTAAAACAGTGATGTGAAAATATAATGAAAATTCATTCAAAATATGTCCATATTTTCGTCAAAATATGGAGCTTCAAATTTTTCTTTTTCAAAAAAATTCTAAAATTTTTTAAGTGTTAGGATATGAAGGCTAAATTACCAGCCTAGTTTTTATATATACAGGGTGAGATGAAAAAACTGCAACCAACTTCAGACTGCTGCCATTTATAAACCACTCGTCCAACAGCTGTTAAAATTATTCCAGTGACAGCTCATTATATTGTTTTCAAGCGTACAAAAGAATTTTGGTAAGAATTTTCCAAAAAAAAATTATTCGTGATGGAATTCAAGCGTGATTGTGTGATTTCTTTATATTTGGCTGGAAAACCACAAGTGGCTATCGTTAGAGCACTTCAGCATATAAATGTGAATAAGTCTTTTGAGTCTGAACATATCGCAATATTCCATTCGGCAAACATTGAAAAATGAGCTCGGGGTAAAACCATCCCCGCAACAGAAAGAAAATAAACTCAAAAGAGCTAAAGAGTTGCTTCGCTTGGCCGAAAGTGGTGAACTGCCGAATTTGGTTTTCTCCGATGAGAATAAATTCGTTGTCTAGCAGTTTGTAAACCAACAAAATGATCGTGTTGCCAAAAATATCAGATGAAAATGTACACCTTCAGTTGGCCACCAGAACTCATGCGCCGGGCATGGTGATGGTGTGGGCCGCCTTAACAGCCGATGGTCCCTCTCCGCTCTTTTTAACCGACCGTGGCATCAGAATAAATGCTGAATATTATCGCGAAACCTTGGACATTGCAACAGAATTCAGCACCATCGCACTCAGCACGCGCCAACTAAGAATGGATACAAAATGAGGTTCCTCGCACAATAGCCACCAAAATCTTCGGATACCAATCCGGCCGCATGTTCCTGCTGTTCTCTTCTCTAGAAAAATCGCTCAAATTTGAACAAAGATAGAAAGTTGTTCGAATTGGAGCGGAAGCACTCCGGTAGGTAGAAACATACGAAACGATTTTTCGTTTCTTAAATAGAAACGTACATGTTTTCCTCGTTTTACAGAAGGAGCAAATTTCGTTCGAAATCAAGCAGATTTTAATCCTGCTAGCGCTCTCACATAAATTATAAGAGTGTAGAGAAAAAACTTCGAGCAAATCCGAGCGAGACGGCAACGAAACTTTGGAACACTTTTTGTACCCTACACCACAAGATGGTCAGGGTATTATGTTTTTGTGCATTTGTTTGTAACAGGCAAAAAGAAAACGAGATAGAAAGTTCCTTTTGATGATCTGCATAAACACCTAAACAAAGTACAGTTCGCATTTATTACCCTATCCAGATGTAATTTTGCACAAATCATTTGTTTGGCCAAGGACGAACCCTATTGAAATTGGAGATAATCGGTCAAAATTTAGATATAGCTCCCATATATATCTTCGTCCGATTTGCTTTTTATTGTGCACCAAACCTGTAATATCAGCATATCATTTTATACACACAACCAAATTAGGCCTAAAAATATAGCCTGCATATAGCTCCCATATAAAACTTCGACTGATTTACGTTTTCTTATGCACCAAACGTCTAATATTTGTCCAAATGGGATGGAATTTTGCACTTTCGACCGAAGTCTAGAAACTTGTATGTCAAATTTTGTGAAGATCGGTTCAGATATAGCTATAGCTCCCATATATGCTGTTCATCCGATTTGTTATATTTGTTACCCACAGCCGTAATATACACCCCGTAACAACGATAATTATAATTATATATAATTATAAAAATAATAACTAATAATTAATATAATTATAATATAATTATAATTTAATTATATATAATTATGATTATATATAACTATAATTAGCTCCATAATAATCATAATTATGATTATAATTAATTATTGCGTGTATGTTGAATACTCCCATAAAAACGGCCAGCCCGACTTTAAGACTTTCATTACTGGTTTCTGCTATATTAAGCTTTGTTGAATATTGTAATCTAAAGGAGCAACATATATATTTAGGGCCATCTTTAGTGCTCATGAAGAGTCTTCTTCTGTCATGAATACAGGTAGATGCATCAACGCTTGGGAGCATTGATATGTCAAAAAAATTTAAATGTTTTTTTTTTCAAAAATAAGTAGTTTTTATAGGTTTTTTATACTACGTCATTCGGAGGCTATTATAAGTCGCGTTTTTCAACAATTTTTACAAATTTAAATAATTTTTCATTCAACATTTTAAATTCCAAAATTGGTTTGACAGTTCATTGTCCCAGAAGCTGTGTCGATGCGCCTACCTATATTATACTACCATGTGAAGAGTATAGCGATACAATATAATCGATAACGGAGATAGGATGCCATTAACATAAGAGATGTAAGCGTGTGTGACACAAGATAAATTGCCAGTTGAATGAAGTATCCGTTGTTGTTAACATCCTCTCCAGCCGCATGGTCGTTTACTTTCAATAAACTTAAAAATTGTGTTGGTTGAACTAAATTCCGAAATTCAAATTATATCGAATATAACTACTACTCAACTCGGGCTTAAGCCAGTAAGTCGAAATTTTAGTCTCTTTTTTCAAAGTAACTGTGATGTGGGCCTACATCACTTGTCGGCAACAGAAACAGAAGTTTCTAGTTTCAAAATCTTAATTAAAAATTACATGTATGTAATGAGAATTCTTTCATGGTTCCATGGAAAATCCCCTCTCTCAATTCTATAATATTGCATAAAATGTAGTCTCTGAGAGAATACAGCACTAACAAAAAAACAGAAAAATTGTAACTTATCCCACTGGAATCCCATTTTATATTTTAAATACAAAAAAAAAAAAAAAAACAAACAATAATAGATCCTGTTTTTTAGCTTCTATAAAAGCATGTTTTTCTCAAATATATTTTATCTCAGAATTGTATTCACCCATACCCTAACCTAGCATTTTAGCTTTTACACAAGAAAAAAAACACATATATTCCAATAAAAAAAATTAAAATTTCGAATAAAATCAACATACAAACATTTCAGATAAAATTCATATACTCTTGTTTATTTAGAATTTTTCATAACTTAAAGAAGAGTTGAGAGACACAATACACAATAACTTCAAGAAATTTAACTAAATTATTACAAATACATTTGTTTTCATATAATTGTATAATTGAGAGTATCGTTTATGCTCTTAGTTTGGACCAAAAATACTACTACTGTGCTCTGGAAATCACACACACATACAAAGTTATTTGGAACTACTTCAAATAGGAAACATTATGTAATTGTTGGTTCATATATAGATATCACTTAGTAATTAGATTGCTTTGGGTTTTTGTTTTTGGTTTTAAATCGTATACGAAACCACAGTGCAAAAGATTTTGATTTGTTTTCAAAAACAGTTTACAGAGGGGGGAGAAAGATAGAGATAGAGTTTGGTGAACTGTGTGTGAAAAGAATTTTGTTATCATTTTTTTGCAACAATCCGACACTACTTTTTTCAGAAATCAAAACAAAGGCAAACTCAAAGAAGAATTTAGAGTGTGCCAAATTGTACCTCATCATCTTCGTCGTCATCATCTTCGCTACTATTCTCACCACCCGAGCGATGTTTGCCCGATTTACGGCCACTGCCCTTGCCATTCACCACTTTGTGCTGAGATTTCGGAGTATTGGCATTACCTACGACAATGTCATTCGATTCATTTTCATTCGAATCCTTGGGGGTTTTATTGTCCTCTCTTTCATCACCATCTCTCTTATCGTCGTTTTCATTTTCATCTGAAGTGGTAAAAATATTTTTTATTTTATTGGAAAATTCTTTAACATTTTCTTTTAAATTGTCGCTAATTTCATCAAATTTATCGCTAATGTCTTGTTGGGTTTGCTTGAGGAAATCTTCAATGTCTTGGGACTCATCTGTGTCACTTGGGGATTTGGGTGATTTTTGTGGGGATTCAGAAGATCTATTAGGATCATGATCATCTTTTTCTTCATTGTTAGTGGGGGATACTGCATTATTATTATTTTCATCTTCTTCTTGCTCCTCTGTTTTCTTCTTTTCATCGCTCATCGATGTTTCCTTATGGTCCGCCTTTAAAATTCCCGTTGGAACTAAATTCAATTTAACAAAACTTTCATTAGTTCCGAGTTTTTCTTTTTTGATTTCTTCTTCCGCATTCTCCGACTTCTCTTCTATGATTTTAATGTCTTTTTGATTGTCATCGGTCTTTGGTACTTGCTCTTCGTCTTTTCCATTTTCACTGGATTTGTTTGAGCCTACGTCTGGCATTTTTTCATTTTCAGCGGGTTTGCCATTTGTTTCATTCTTCTTTTCCTTTTCTGTTTCCACTTCCGTGATTGTTTCTTCTTTTGTTGAATTCACATCTTCTTTTGCGGAGTCCTCTTTATTCTTTGTGATATTCGCATCTACTTTTCCTGAATCTACTGAGATTTCTGTTTCATCTTTTATCGAGCTTTCTTCATGCTTACCTTCAGTTTTAGAATCTCCATTCTTACCCTGAGTTTGGTCGTCGTTTTCTTTATCTTTATTATCATCTTCTTTTTCATTATTCTTATTTGTCTTTTCCACTGTTTCGTTTTCCTCATCCTTTTCGTTATTTTTATTATTTTCTTGGTTTCCTTCTTCTAGCGAATCCTTTTCATGATCGTTTTTGGTTAGATCATCCTTATCTTCCATATCCTTTACAACATCCTTTCCATCGCCTTTACCCTCATTATCGCCTTCTTTAATACTATCACCTTTTTCTTCATTGTGCTCACCTTTATTGTTGCCATTCAGTTCAACCTCGTTTGCCTTATCATTGGCCTCATTTTCACCCTCTTTTGTTTCTGCTTCCTTACTACTATCCTGTTCATTTTCTTTTACATGATCCTCACTTTTCTCTTCTGCCTTTCCCTTATCATGGCTTTCTAGATCTTCCTTCTCCTCCTTTCCTTTATCATGACTTTCTAGATCTTCTTCCTCCTCTTTTCCTTTATCATGACTTTCTAGATCTTCCTTCTCCTCCTTTGCTTTATCATGACTTTCCACAACTTCGTCTTCTTCCTTTTCTTTGTCATGGCTTTCTAAATCTTCATCGTCTTCCTTTTTCTTTTCGCTTTTATCACTGTCTTCAGTTCCCACCTTCTTTTCCTCTATTTCCTTTATTTCTTCAGCAGTTTCAATAGTTTTTTCATCTTTTTCATTGACTTCCTTTTCATTGTCTTCCCTCTCTTGGGCTCCCTCATCACTTTTTTCGATGACAGTTTCTTTACTATTTTCACTCTCTTCTTCGTCATTTTGTTTTTCATTTTCTCCTTCGTGATCCTCCTCTTCGGCCTTATTCGTTTCGCTGTCGTTGGTGGTGGTGGTGGCATTCGTTTCATTTACAGACTGTGTTTGTTTCTGTAAAAAGTAAACAATTGTCGACTGATTTTTTTGTCTTTTTCTTGTTGTTGTATCTTTTTTGTATTTGTATTTTTGTTTTAAATGTAATGCATAAAACCTCTGCATATTTTGGGGGGTTAAGCATTGTTTATTTAGCAGAGAAATATGGAACAAAGTTTTGAGAATGGAATATCGATTTGTCATCAAGAAGAGATGTGGTGAGCTAAACATATTTTCTGAGAGCATATATTGAAAAGGAGAGAGCAAGAATGTTGGGGGAGAGTAAAGAAATTAAGTGAGAATAACGCTTAGGGTGGAATTCCACTTAAAAAAATCCACCGGCCACCTTGTTATATAAGGAAGGCATTTAGAAGATATTTTATCTAAATCTGGGTTCGACAGCCTGTTTAGATCAGGGGTCGGTATTGAGCTATTCGCTGGAAAATGAGAAGGGAGAAAGAAACCACAGATAAAACAGACACTACTCCCATCTCCATGGCGTTGCCGGTTGTGTTATTAGTTGTTTTCATATATTTGATAAATACCAGGGGTCGGCAATTTTAAAAACTAAAAATCATGGAAGCAAGCAACAATATTATCATTGAGGGCTCGATGCAGACAGGAGCGCCGGTTGTTATAAATGTGTTGTGCCTTTGTTCTTGTCCGACCCCTGGTCAAAGCTGACCAAGTAACTCTTCTGTTTTAATACTTCTCATCTAAAAAGAAGACTCATCTCCTAATGGAAACTTCTCTCAATAGAAGATATTTACAAAATCTCCTGTATGAAACATCCCTGGAGATTTGAAGAAAGCTTGAGAGCATAATTCCGTGTAGAACAGAAAGTATTTAGAAAGTCTTCTATCTCCTGAAGGTTCTTTGCGCAAAAGATCTGTTGACGACCTGATATCTGGAAAAGACTTGAAAAAGCTAATCTGTCCTTTAAAGAGCTAAAGAATCTCAATTTTTTTATTGAAGATCTGAAGAACGTCTTCTATTTTGAAAATGTCTGAACAGAATATCTATGGTCTTCCAGAAAAGTAGATTCTATACAGAACTCTAGACTATTTTCAATTTATAGAATTGTGAAGAGCTTTTTGCAGAAGGCATCCGCAGCACTACAACTTATAGAAGATTTAAATATCTTCCATTAACGATCTGTAAATGATTGTATGTCTATGTATTACCTCTAGAAGACTTTACCAGGCCTCCTATCTACAAAATTACTTTAGGTCTTCTATCTATAGAGAGCATCTAGACAGTCTGACCTGTAGAGAATTCTATTTTAAAGGATTACCACTAACGGGCTTTCAAAAAACCTGAAGAGGACCTTCATGTTTTGAGGTCTTCTATTATGAGAAGTCATGAAGATTTAAGATTTTCTATCTTAAGGAGACCAAAAGAAGGTGTTCTATTCACAGAACTGTGAAAGAAGTTTCATCTGCCAATAAAAGACCCAAAGAAGAAGACCAGATAAAAGGCTTCTATTCCCAGATCTGAAAAAGGTCTATAGTGGAAACAGAAGTCCAGCTGACCAGCCTTATATTTAATGAGGTTGTCTTATCAAAACGTTGTATGGAAGACACACAGAAGGTTTTTTGCCAACAAAGTAGATAGCTCGTAAAAGGTCTCATATTTACAGAACCTGTTGAAGGAATTCTTCCTACAAAGTCTTCTAAGTAGAGAATGAGGAACGTAGAAACATTGTCACCTATCCAAAAAAGACGGAATCGGACTTGTAGATGGCCCTCTTCTTCTGGAATATCTGTAGCCCTTCATAAGCAAATTTTCTTTAGAAAATCTTCTTAGAAATATTAAAACAAAAATTGAAATCCTCAATTATATCCCAGATAGTGAGTTCTTGAAAGTATTACAAAATATTCTTTAGTAACCCACGAAAAATTTAAATAAATAGACTTTGAAAACTTCGAGAAAAAAGAAACCCACGATATATTAAATTCAAATTTAAATCCTCGATTTTATGGCATGGAGTCTTTGGAAATATATTGTATGAACTAATCTGATCATAGAAGACCTGAATAAAAAATCCTACAAAATCTGTAAACATGGAAACCCTATCTAAAAAAGATAGTATCGGACTTGTAGACGGCGCACTTCCGCAGGAATACTTGTGGTACGTTCTCCATTTGAAAGAGACCTGTAGATGGTTTACTTTCTATAAAAGAACGCCTGTCTGTTAATATTAGACCTGTATAGAGTCCTTCATTTCTCGAATAGCTGTAGATGGTATTCCATCCTCATAATACCTATGAAATATCTCCTACCTACAGAATATGTACCTAAATACATCTATAAGGCTTCACTACGCAAAATAAGGGGCACAAATCGTCCGTATTTATTATATCTACTCGAATTCTTGTACACAAAAACCTTCAGTAAAATTAAAACCAATTGAAAGTCTGGACTTTCTTCCAGTGAAGGAGAAACCCCCTTAATGTCCGTAAAAAGAGTCATTATCCTTCACAGATATTTATAATTAAACGCTCACTCTATTCCTCCAAAACCCTCTATATCAGCACACGAGAATATGTTTAGCTCATTGACTTCCACCTGTAGGAATGATGACAAATCTATATTCCAATTTTAAGATAGAGTTATAGGAAATATATTTAGTAACAACAAAATGAACTGAAAATTAAAAAACTCTTGAAGATGAGGAAATAAAATCAAGGCCGACAATGGCTTACTTTTAACAGACCATTTGTTCATTAACAAAAAAAAAAAAACAAGTTCATTTTGTTCTCATCTCATGTTTGTCAGTAAAACATTGTTGGTAATGGGATTTGGGCTACAAGTTTAAGAGACAAACAAGCATAGCTATTTTTTGCATAGATAAATTTAATGTGCCTTTAAGCTTTTTTTAAACATAAAAGAAATATTTACAAAATGAATACATTTTTTTAAATTAACAATAGTTTTTTACTTTCAATCCCAATTGTTTCTTTTGCAAGGAAAAAATACGAAGTAACAAAATCATAACATAGGAAAAGCTGTTTTTTTTTGCCTAGCAATTTCTAGTTTCAAATAAATTTGGAAAGCCTTTCTTCCTAAAAAAAATTGTATTTACAGTTCCTAGCTTCTTAAGGGTGCACATGAAAGCCAAAAAAGTTAAATGAAATTGAAAGTACTTACTTCATCTTGTGGTTCTTCTTTGTCTTCGGCTGCAGCTGCAGCTTCATCGTCATTAGTTTGGGTTTCTTCGTTAGCACTTTCGGTTTCCTCGCCATTTTCTTCTACTTTCTTATCTTCGGTCTCATCTTCGGCAGGTTTTTCTTCTTCAGCCTGCTCTTCTTCTTCTTCTTCATCAGCCACTGGTTCGGCATCTCCATCACCATTTTCTTCAGCGGCAGGTTCTCCTTCTTTTTCTGGTTCTTCTGTCAGGGCTTCATCGTCCCCACCACCAGCATCATCGTCATCCGCTGCACTTGCGCTGTTTTTGGGAGGGAAAATAAATTAAATTGCTTTTAAATTCATGATTTTAGATCTGAGATACTTTCAAAATTATGTTTCAATCCACTATATATTAGCTAAATTAATCTTTTAAAATTTTTTCGTCAAAAATCAGCAGTCCTGACCTATTGAAAATATTACAACAAAATCCACGCTGAAAGCGTATTGAAAAAAATCATAGACAATAGCTCTGATAGTGCATCTTTAAGAAAATCCATTAAGTATTGAATACAAATTTAAATCTTCAATTATGTTCCCAAAATTGAAAACCATTTTAATTTTTGATTTTACCCCAGATAGTTCTTGAAAAATATGGAAAAACTAGTCTTTAGAAAACCCACGTAGTTTTTAATAAAAAACAAAAAATTGAAATTCTCTATTTTATTCCAAAAGGTCCTTGAAAATTATAATATGTAATATATGTATATATATATATATGTATATATATATATATATATATATATATATATATATATATATATATATATATATAGAAAACCCACGAAATATTGAATAAAAACTTAAATCTCCAACATATGCCTTATGTTCCTTGAAATTATTGATAAAATATTCTATAGCGTCATTAAAAAACTCTTACGCTCATTGCTTTAATAGTCGTTGAAAATGTTATTTAAAATCTACGTTTGGTGGTTTAAAATTCTTTTAAAATATCAAGTTTATTTCAACAATATAGTCCTTAAAAATGTTCTTCAAAAAATCCACGTTAATTTCCCTGATAGTCCTTGGAAAAATATTCTTTAAACAATCTACATATGGATGTGTGATGGTTCCCGGTAAATTATGCCTTGAAAAATTAAAATCCGTGATTTGAGATTTTTTTAATAATAAACATCAAAAGTACCGTTGTAAAAAAAAATAATTTTAAATTTTCAAAATAAAAAAACTATAATTGAAGTCTTAAAAGGTGTATTTAAGATCATTGCTTCCATACCTCCCTCCTTCAAAAATATTTTAGTATTTTAAACCACAACTATTCTTGCAAAATCTTTTTTTTTAGATTCGAAAAAATGTTAAATACACGAATGATCCAGAAAATTCACTTTTGAAAGTTCACAACTATTCCCTTACCGATATTCTATGAAAAATATCCTTGAAATCCCCGATTAAATTCTTTCAAAAATAATGCAAAATAAATCCCCCAATACTTACCCCTCCGTCATTTCAGCTTCCGATGTGTTTTCATTACTCTCCGTATTGGAATGTCTACCGAAACCATTCATTTCGGGTATTTTGATGTTGGGATTCTAAAGACATATCAAAAAAAAATCCAAATACAAAAAACCATTAAATTATCTTCCACTGCACCTTGACAAAAACCCCTCGATATACCCACCTTGCCATCACCGCTGTCATCACTCAAGGCCTCCCAATCTGTGGCCACATCCGGTGATACTCGTGGTGCCTCGGGAACATACGTCAGAAACGCCCTTTCGATTTCATGCGGTTTATGGCGATAAAATGAAGGCGTTTTCATTTTCTATTTTTTCAATTTGTCGCAACGATTGTCAATGTCATACCAACAAAAAAATAACAGAACGCATAAGGAAGACAACAGAAAAACAATGCATTTCAATCAAAACCCATTGACGCTGGAATTTTTGAAGTTTTTAATTTCGCCAAAGTGACAAACTTACATAGTCAACGGCTTCCTCGTCACAGCCAGCTTGCGTGAGCAGCGTGTAACAGCGCATATTATTTTTGGCACTGGCAGCCCAATGCAGGGGGGTCTTGCCGGTTATATCACACTCGTGTACGCCATCGGGCCAGGTGGTGATCAGATATTCCAAGATTGTGGCATGGCCAAGGCCGGCTGCTTTGTGTATCAGATTTAGGCCATTTGCATCACGACATGTCACCAAGGCCGGTGGTACAGGTGGTTCCAAATGGGCCTGAAGATTTTCCAAATTGTTGTCGATTACTGCTTGATGGACATCGCGAATGGAATTCTAAAAGCGGAAATAAGAGACCCAGACATTAAATCCTTTTAATCATATCCTTAAGGATTCCTTGGTTCTCACCATCACATAAGGCACTGCAGCTAGAAATCTCTTGACTCTGGGATTGGTGCTGGCCTGTTGCCTTAAACGATTCCCCTGGCCAGCCCATAATATGCGGGTTAGTTTACCAATTTCCTTTTCATGCATCCATATTCGTATTGTGGAGAGCTTGATGGAAAAATCTGCAAACAAAAACAACAAAATTACAATTCCGTTACTCCTTTCGCCAAAATTCTTGTCTGTGTGTGTGAACTAATTTAAAGTTCTTTTTTCCGCCACCGTTTTCTTGTGTCTTTTCCTTGCCTGTGAAAAACTTTTGTTTTTCAATTATTATTTATTGCATGTTTGCATGTCAATCAAGACAAGTTATTTTTGAAAAGTTCCGTTTTTTTTTCGTTTTGTAATTTTGTGATTTATTTCACACGATGACTTCTTTAAATAAAACCAAAAAAAGGCCTTTCGTTGTAAAAGTTTGCCATTTCTCACCCAAATATTCTCGCCGAGCAATTCATGAAATTAGTTTTCAAGTGCAATCATTGAAAGCAATGAAAATGACATTACTGTAAATTTTCTTAAGTCAAAGTAAGTTGAAGTGAGAACGGGAAATTTGAAAAGTGAAAGTAAAAGTTTTATCGCCATCACAACCCAAGGTCGGGCAATAAACAAAAGGGAGGAAGATGTTAGTTCTTTTTTAAAGGACAACGATAATTGTTGAAAATCGAAATTTAATGTTTAGAGCAAAAAGCTGAAGATTTAAGACAATACCACTGCCCAAATAGGAAATCCAGAGCCCCGAAAGTCCTGCACTCAAGGACGAAATCTATAGAAATTAAAGTAAATGGGTCAAAACTTAGATATAGCTCCCATATATATCGTCGTCCGATTGCCTTTGATTGTGCACCAAACGTGTAATATCAGCCCAAATAGTATGAAATTTTGAATATACGACCAAATTAAGCCTTGAAATAAGTATGTCAAATTTGATCGAAATCGGTTCAGATATAGCTAATGCTCCCATATGTATATATTGTGCATAGGTTTTGATATTTTTATTCTCCGCAGCCGTAATAGGCACTCTGTTACAACGATATTTGGTGAAATATAGCACAGAAATACCTTTTCCAAAATTTGTCGAGATCGGTTCGGATTTGGATATAGCACCCATATTAAATTCCAAAAAGTGCAAAAACTTACACAGCAGATAGAAAATAGACTCAAAAGAGCTAAAGAGTTGCTTCGCTTTGCCGAAAGTGATGAACTGCCGAATTTGCTTTTCTCCGATGAGAAAACATTCGTTTGTCCAAAATGATCGTGTTTACTTGCCAAAGAGGTCAGCTGAAAATGTGCACCATTGGTAGGCCACCTGAACTCGAGAGCCGGCCATGGTGTGCAAAATTCCATCTCGATCGGACAATAAAAGCGACCTGTACTTTGTTTACAAAAATACATAGACGGGCGGATATGCATTAATCGGCTCTGAATGTGATTCTATGTAGATCATCAAAAGGAACTATGGGTCTATCTCGCTTACTTCTCTATGTAGTATAGGATATTAAAACGGTCGATTTGAGCCAAACTTGTCCTTCAATATTTGATTTTAAGAATTATAAACCAAATTATCCTTCGAAAAATTCACATTTTGAAAATTTACAATTACACCTCAGATAGAACAAATTCACACCTATAGCATAGAAAGTTTTTTCAAAAATCATTTAAAAATCAAGGATAAATTCCAGATAATCTTTTTTTAGAAATCTATTTTTGCAAAATAGATTTTTGAAGTCGTTTTTCAAAATCTGAATAAGAAAAATTTGTTTTAAAAATCAGTGAAACCAACCTACAAAGTCCAGTATTATTAATCCGATTTGCTCCCAAAATATGTGATTATCACTCGAGTAAATCATAAAAATGTGCAATTGATCTGCAGGACTTTTGGTATTAAAAATGAGCTATAAAGACCCCCATATAACTGTACTTCCTAATATTCGGTATTTTGATAATTTTAGCTACATTATTCACCTGATGACTTTGGTTACATTATACACCGAAATGGTTTTTATTTCGTATTTGCACGTCGTAACGAATACTAAAACCTGTGACAGAAAACTACCTTTGCAGGTCGAGGTCTTCGTACAGCGTCCATATATCGGTACCTCCCTTTAGACGTTTTCCTATGGACACCAATATAACTGCAAACCTCTACATTCTGCATACTTTAAATTTTAACAGAATTGTTAAGTGATGTTTTTTTTTTGAAAATTTCCAAATTTTTTACATTTGGTGGAGGGTATTCAAAGTTCGGCCCAGCTGAACATACTGTTTTTTTACTTCTTTTGAATTGAAGTCAAATAAAAACAAGTAAGCAAAGGCTACAGTCGAGCGGGGCCGACCGTTGAATACCCTACAACACTATAATAAACGATACTGTTTACATAGGCAAGATACTCGAAAGAATTCCACAAGATATTGTGACAAATAATAAAAGAAAACCACCAGGTTTCGTTCTCTAATTTTCGAATAATAGAAACTTTAACTAATTTGCTCATTTCCAATTTATTGGTAGATGTTGCACGTAAATGGTCTTCCTAGATCTGGAACCAATATTTCCCAAAGACCTATAACCTCTCAGAAGTGGCAAAAGATTAACATTTATTATTTTTTTTTTTTTTTTTTTTTTTGAATGAAACGCATCAATATGAGATACAGACATTTGACTATATTCTTCAACGAAATCAGCGTTAACGAAATAGTGAGAAGTGTGTCTTTCCTGTATTTGTGAATTCTCCAAAAAGTCACTGGAATGGACCTTTTCGTATTTTGTCTACAAAAGTTGGCAAACTATTTCACACATTGAATATTTTTGGATGGTCATCCGAAACTGCTTGGCTTTTGCAATGCCCGGTAACCCCCATTCAAATGTGCGTGAGGATCGGGCGATAATTACGACCTGCCGACAATTTTGCAGTTTTTTGCTCCATTTCAACCCCTAAATATATTGCGATCATCTCCAAAAAGAGTAGGCTTCTATTCTGACCCTCATCTTATCCCCATGCAAAATTTCGTAAGGATCGGGCCTTAAATGAGATCTGTATATGATATCCTGATATCCTAACTACTTAGTTTTGTTAGATGTAGAAATATTACCAAATTTTTAATTCAAAATGAAAATATGCCAAAAATATGACAAAATTGAAAAAATGTGAGAAAATTTTACAAAATCAATATTTTCATCTTTAGAGAGATATGTTTATGCGATTTTTTAGACGTTTTTTCTTTCCTGCCAAGAGGCCATTCTGAATTAATGAGAACTGTCGAAATCAGTTCAGCCGTTCTCGACATATAAGAGATCTTTCAAGCATATCTCCTTTGATAGGCATATATATCGCACATATTTTGCTATATATCCGATTTGTTGGATAATAACATCAATGTAAAGGTCAGAAGTAACCTTGGGATAGCTTTGTGATTTCGCCGGGATTTAAAATATTCACGGTTTAATGAAAAATTTTGATTTTTTTCAACACAAAAGATATGGTCTATTTTACCCGCTAAATATTATCCGATGACCACCCAAATTAGTAGGCTTCTTTCCCGCCCTAAACTTTATCTACATGCGAAATTTCGCGTCGATTGGTCTATAATTGCGACCTGTATAGCTACTGCAAAATCCGACATTTTTTCAGTATTTGGTCCATTTAAACCCCTAAACATTTGGCGATCATCTCCAAAAGCAATAGGGTTCTATTCTGGTCCAAGCCCCACCTACATTCTAAATTTCGTGAAGATCGGGCCATAATTGCGACCTGTAGAGTGATTACAAATTAACATGGACAGACGGACAGACGGACAGACGGACGGACGGACATACATAGCTAGATCGACTCAGCTCGGCGAGCTAGGAAGATCCATATATACTTTCCTATGTGGGAAACCAATATTTCGAGGTGTTACATAATTTTTGGCCCAATCAAACTTATAATACCCCCAACACATAGTGTTGTAGAGTATAAAAATCAGTATCTTATTTTTAAAATTTTGGTTTTTATATCCAATATTCTGACTTTGGGCAACGTCATTTTCAGGGGAATATTAAAGACACAGTAGCTTATTATTTCACTAAATATTTAATATAAAAATCCACAGCGTTATATTACATTTTTAAATAATCACCTACTTGTCTCCTACAATATTTTGAAACAACATGAAATTTGATTGTGCCACCTCAGCATTAAAAAATATCTCTTTGTATTGCAGGTCAAAAGAGGGTTGGCCCAACCAAACTCTCAGCCCTTTCTACCACCTGCCTATCCCTACTTTCATTTCAAATAAATTGATAATTGAATTGTTTTAATTTTAATTTTGTTAATTGTTTTAATATTTCCCATGAGAATTGAGACATATGGCGTGTAACAAAGTAGCTTCAATTCTGTTGTTGTTTTTTTTATTTTTATTTCAAACAATTTTGTTTAAATATTATCCGTGTACTTCCATTCCACTTGGACAAATAAAAAACTGTTTTTCTCAACTATTTTTGGGAATTTCCTTCCATTAAACCAATTAATTTATATATGTGGGTATGTGTTTTTGCTTCTTGTTAGAGATATAAGAAAGAACAAATGACCTTTACACTTTCTTAAGCTGGCACTGTATAAAAATGAAGTTGTTTTAATGACCAACACTGTGAAACTATGTGTAAATAAGATAATGTCCTTAATGTCCATAGATAAGGAATTGATAACTATTATTATACCCAACCTACATTTATGATATATATACATATAATTTGAGACCTGAGTGTTAATCTAGTAACGTAATAAAAATGAAGAAAGTTGCCGAAAAATTTTTCAATTTAGCAGTTTCTCCAAAAATTCCTTTCAATTAGCAATTCAATGCCCAAAATTATCAGTTATTTTTGGAAAAAAGGACCTGGCGTTGTAGAAAACCTTCTACCTTTCGATGAGCCGTCAGTTTTCTCTGCGAATACACGACATTCTGATCAGCGATGAAACGACGTTTCTCCATGTTATGCATTCAGCTCTGCTATGACCAGACTTTCTACTCTGCTGGGAGCAAAACTTTTGCTCAGCTATAAGCAGTCCTTCTGCTCTGCTGTGCGACAATCGTCTGCTTAGCTGTGAGCAAAGCTTCGGATCTTTTGAGAGCAGAACTTTTGCTTTGAGCAAACACTTCCGTGAGCAAACCTTCTGCTCAACTATACGTTTACCTTATGCTCTGCTATGGAAAAACCTCTGCTCTTCTGCCAGTCCAATGAGAAGACTCTCTCATTTTATAAAGAAGTCCTTTTGGTCTTTATGAGAGGACCTTCTGGTCCACAACGAAAAGACCTTCTTTCCATTAAAAGAAGAGCTTATGGTCTTCTTAGAGAAATCCTGAAAAGACTTCCGCGAGACGGCCTTCTTGTCACATCAGGAAAAGTCTTCTAGTCTCATTCGAGCAAATCTATGGTCCTCTGCAAGAAAATCTTATATCCCTCCACTAGAAGACATTCTGGATATATCTTCACAACAGATCTTGCGTTACCAAAAATGTGTGAAATTTGATGTTAATCGGATATTAGTTTCGCGTTTTATGAGCTCCATAGATATTCAAAATGTTGACCCTTCGTAGGAGAGGTACCAGAAGGAGTAGACCGATACATTACATCTTCAAATATTAAAAGTTTGGTTAATTAATTGTTTGGTTATTCAATACTTTGACCCTTTGTGGGGTCAAGTAATGGTCCGATCTCTACCATTTTATAACAGATCTTGTGTTAGTAGAAAGATTAAGATGTGCCAAGTCTGAATGGAATTGGATGTTAATTCCGCGTGTTATGAGCTTCATGGATATTCAAAATGTTGACCCTTTGGGGGAGAGGTACCACAAGGAGTCCATCTTCACACCAGATCTTGGTTTAATAAAAATATTGTGATGAGTGTAATTCGAAGACAATCGGAAGCTTTCACACATTTTTTTTATAATAATTCAAAATTTTGATCCTATGTGGGGAAGGTACTTGATGGAGTGGCCCGATGTTGTTATAATTATTTAAAATTTTGACCCTTTGTGAGGGAGGTACTTAATGGAGTGGCCCGATATTATCCATTTTCGCACCTAACCTATCAAATATTAGAATTATCCATTATCTTTCTGTGCAGTAGATTATTTTTTGAAAACTTCGACCTTTTGTGGGGGAGATACCAGAAAGAGTGGACCGATATTGCCCATCTCCGAGCTCGATCTAAGTTTTATAAAAGTATTACGACGAACCAAGTGCGAACCAAATCGGATACTCCCTTCGAGGGTTATCGTGCGCTCCAGCCAGACAGACGGACGGATATACATCGCTAGATCGCCTCCAAATGTTCTGAAACGAATTTGGCCCAAAGAATCTATAACCGTTGTTTCGATAAGGCATGTTTTGGCTGTATCCAATGATATATAACCTCTCTAGCCATATGGCTAATGGTATAAAAAGTCCCTTTGGTCGTCTTTCATAAGACCTCACTGCAAGAAAATTTTTGAGTTTTTGTTGGGCCAGAAAATTTACGAGAACAAATGTTCTATCAGGATTTTCAAATATTTTTTGTGGCTTTACATTATATCGCAGTCCAATAATACCGTAGTCTGAGCAACTTAATATTCGGAAAATGCATTTGGTAATTAAATCATTATATCGCAGTCCAATAATACCGTAGTCTGAGCAACTTAATATTCGGAAAATGCATTTGGTAATTAAATGCATTTGGTAATTAATTTAGATCAGAATTCAAAGCAAATCCGTGGAGGTTGAACCTGGAAGAAATTAACGTTTTCATCGAAGATGAACTGAAAATGACAGAACATAAACCATGTTCAGGGCCGGGCTGGAGGGTCCTCTGGCGTGCAGGGTCCTGGTCCAAATGAATATTTTTTTATGTATAACTTCTTCCCATTTTTAATTAGCTATAAAAAATATTGCATTAATGTCCTAAAACATTGTATCCTCTTTCGAAAAAAAGGTTGCATAGTTGCCCCGGATCCACCGTAAGTCTACACCAAATAAACCCAGCCCGTATTATTTTCATATTGTCAAAACTTACCATCGCTTCCACGCCTCCGACGGGCACTATCATTTGGCAGCTGACCATTCATGGGTAGTACTGCAATTAAAAATTAATAAAAGAAACAACTTTAAAATTATCTATAAATCATGAGTCATCACAATTAAAGTCAATATTTCAACAATCAATCAAATAAATGTTAATTTCACTTAAATATTCTACTTCTACTCCTTTGTGAGTGCTTTAATATTAGTAACAACAACTTCAGGACAATGGCTGGAATACTCAACCACACAGATAAATAAATAAATGTATCCAACAACACCACTAATGACAGGTTGCTGACTGACTAACTGACTGACTTGCTACAAATGTCCAAAAGTCGAAATGTATTTTGAGCGAACCGCACGTGTATTGCCACAGAAAGCCGGCTAACAACTAAATCAAAAAGTTAAGTTCATGGAACCTTTTTAACAAAAATACTAAAACCCCTGCCAAAATAAATTTGGATTACCAATAAATGTGTGACGTTGACGGACAGGAGGAATAAGGACAAGCAGGGGATTTTATGTGTATATGGCCAAGGAATACAAAGGTGCATATTATTTATTTGTGATTTCATTGTTTTTTTTTTTATTTTTTTTTTTTTTTTTGGTTGACATGACCAAACAAATGACATGGTCAATATGTAGAACACGGTTTGGTAGCAGTTGTCGTCGACAGCCCCATCATTCAAACAATCAGCCAGAACAAACATTCTGGTCATCATCATACCCCCACAAAAGTATTTTATTTTTCTTTCAAAAAACCGGCGACCCATAAAACTAATGACCAGTGGTTACCGTCTAAAATTTCTCATTAACAGCAAAACAAACAATTATTTGTTTGCTTCCACATGTTATAGACGACCAATACTTTTTTCCACGGAAGATCACGAAGAGTTGGGGGGGGAGGGGAGAGAGTTAATTCTTATTAATAATCGAGGTAACTTTCTTTGGGGTGATAGGAAGGAGAAACGAAAATGGAGGTTCCAAAGAAACCATACGTGGTGAGATGAAAACAAGTAAAAAAACATTAAGTTCGGCCGGGCCAAACTTTTAATACCCTCCACCTTAGGATAGAGAAAACATTAGAGTCCATTTGACCCACATATACCAATTTTTAGACATATTCATGGGAAAATGTGCCAAAAATCATTAAAATACCGAATATAGGGAAATACGAATACGAAATACAAAAACGTGGACCTATACATACAGTGTTTCGCCAAAAGAGCTAGAACCCATTTGGACCAACAAATACCATTTCGAAGAAATGTGTCAAAAACAATTAAAATGCCGAATATCGGGAGGTACCGTTATATGGGGGCTATACCCAAATCGGGGACGTATAATTACAATGATTCGCCACACGAACTGGGACCCATTATGACCAATTTTCAGAGAAATTCGTAAAAAAAATGTGTCAAAAATCATCAAAATATCGAATATTGGGAGGTACCGTTATATGGGGATTATATCAAAACGTGGACCACCTGTACATACAATCTTTCGCCACACGAATTAGGACCCACTATGACCTACAAATACCAATTTTTATACAAATCAGTGAAAAAATGTGACAAAAACCATCAAAATACCGAATATCGGCAGGTACGGTCATATGAAGGCTATACCAAAACGTGGACCGATATATCTCATTTTCAATACCAACCATTCTAGACACAATACAAATTGCTCTGCTAAATTTTTCTCTCGCTCTACGTCAAATAATGTGGACTGTATCGTGATTTCAACAGACAGACGGACAGACATACAGACAGACAGGCGACTTAGAATTTTATGCTGATTATGAATATATATACTTCATGGGGTCTACGACGAATATTTAAGGATGTTACAAACAGAATGACAAAGTAAATATACCGTCTTTTACAAGGTTAAGGGTATAAAAACTGCAACCAACTTCAGACTGCTGTCATTTCTAAGCCACTCGTCCGACAGCTGATAAAATTATTCCGGTGACAGCTCATTATATTGTTTACAAGCGTACAAAAGTATTTTGGTGAGAATTTTCCAGAAAAAAAATTTATTCGTAATGGAATTAGTGTGATAGTGATAGTGTGATTTCTTTATATATGGCTGGAAAAGCACAAGTGGCTATTGTTAGAGCACTCCAGCATTCAAATGTGAATAAATCTTTTGTGTCTCATACCATCGCTCGTTATCGTGATACTGGTAGCGTAGCCCGACGTCAAGGAAGTGGACGGAAGAAAACAGTAACCTCAGCAGAAATGGTTTGAAAAGTAAACTTGATTGAAACCCGTATCGCAGTGGCCGAAAAATGGCTCGTGAGCTGAACATATCGCAATATTCTATTCGGCAAATATTGAAAAATGAGCTCGGATTAAAGCCATTAAAATTCCAAAAAGTGACAGAACTTACACTGCAACGCAAGGAAAATAGACTCAAAACAGCTACAGAGTTGCTTCGCTTGGCCGACAGTGGTGAGCTGCCGAATTTGGTTTCCTCCGATAAGAAAACAATCGTTGTCCAGCAATTTGTAAACAAAAAAATGATCGTGTTTAATTGCCAAAGATGTCAGCTGAAAATTTATACCTTCGTTTGGCCACCAGAACTCAAGCGCCGGCCATGGTGATGGTGTGGGCTCCATAACAGCTGATGGTCGTAATAATCAAAATAAATGCCGAATTTTATCACGAAAATATTCTGGAGGGCGTATTAAAGCCTAGGGCACGCAAACATTTTGGCCGCAGACTTTGGACATGCCAACAGGACTCAGCATGCGTCCATGTATTTTTGTAAACCATTACATTTCGCATTTATTGCCCTATGCAGAAGAAGTTTTGCACAAATCATTTGTTTGGCCCGAGGACGAACCCTATTGAAATTGGAGATAATCGGTCCAAATTTAGATATAGCTGTCATATATCTTCCTCCGATTTGATTTGATATTACACCAAACGTTTAATATCAGCCGGAATAGTATGGAATTTTGCACATACAACCAAATTAGGTCTGAAAATAAGTATGCTAAATTTGATCGAAATCGGTTCAGATATAGCTATACCTCCCATATATATTGTTCATCCGATTTGTTATTTTTGTCCTCCGCAGCCGTAATATGCACTCTGTAACAACAATATTTGGGGAAATATATCAAATACATCTCAGAAAAACATTTGATAAATTTTATCGAGGTCGGTTCAGATTTGGATATAGCTCCCATATATAACTTCGTTCGATTTACCTTTTATTGTGCACTAAACGTATAATATTTGTCCAATGGGATGGAATTTAGCACTTACGACCGAATTGAGTCTAGAATCTAGTATGCCAAATTTGTTGAAGATCGGTTCAGATATAGCTATAGCTCCCATATATTTACGTTTCATCCGATTTGTTAAATTTGTTACCCATAGCCGTATTATGCACTCCGTAACAACGATATTCAGGGAAATATATCAAATACAGCTCAGAAATATCTTTGTCAAATTTTATCAAGATCGGTCCCGATTTGGATATAGCTCCCATATATATCTTTATCCGATTTCCGAATTAATTGTGCACCAAATGGGCAATACAAATCCGAATTTAAAAGATACAAATTTTTTAACTGTTATGTGGAGCTCTACTAGATTAGCAAAGTGGTTTAGAGTATCATAAAGTCGGCCCCGCCCGTGTTTAAGACTTTCTTTACTGGTTATTGTCATATTTTTTCTGTTAGTAAGAGTACATTCCGAATTGATGAGAATTGTGAAAATCAGTCCAGCGGTTCTTGACTTATAAGCAGATCTATTTCTATTTCACATACAAGGTGGCCCAAAAAGATTACTTTTGCCTATCATATAAATTTTACAATTGGTCCCTAGTGCCTTAATTTTGGTTTGGTTGGTTTTGGAACCTGAAAAAAATCTACAAGATTTTTAAAAAATCAAATGTTCCTTTCAAAAATCAATGACATTTTGGAAGGTTTTATACCCCCCACCATAATGTGGAGGGTATATTAATTTTTTCATTTCATTTTTAAAATCTTGAAATATACATTTTAGACCCCAAAAAAATTCTATGTCGTTTAAGCGATGTCCATCCGACTGTCCGTCGGTGGAAATCACTCTAGCTTCCGAATGAAATAAAGTAGATTGACAAATGTATACTATGCCTGCAGGACTGTTGGTACTGAAAATGGCCGAGTAGGTCAACGTTTTGGTGTATTTTCCATATAACTGTACCTCCCGATATTCGGTATGATGATGATCCGATATTCGGTATGATGATTATTTTAGCGACATTATTCACCGGAATTGTTTCAAATTTGGTGTTTGAAGTTCGTATTGAATGCTACAGTCTAAGACAGAAAATTTTTTGTGCAGGTGCACGTCTTCCTATAGCCCCCATATAACGGTACCTCCCAATGTTCGGTATTTTGATGATTTTAGCGACATTATTCACCGGAACTGTCTCAAATTTGGTATTTGAAGTTCGTAATGAATACCACAGCCTACTACAGAAAATTTTCTGTGCAGGTTCACGTACTTTTATAGCCCCCATATGACGGTACCTCCCTATATTTGGTGTTTTGATGATTTTAGCGGGCAGCCAATAGCAGAAAATTGTTTGTTCAGGTCCACATTTTGATATAGCCCCCATATAAAAGTACCTCCCTATATTGATGAGTTTAGCTACATTATTCACCAATTTCTTTAAGTTTCGCATTCGAATACTGTAATAGCTTATAACAAAAGTTGCCTATGCAGGTCCACGTCGTCGTTTAGACCCTAATATGATGGCCACATTGGGTATTTTTAAGATTTTAACAGAATTTTTAACGGATTTTATTTTTTTGAAAATTTCCAAAATCGTTCCAAATGGTGGAGGGTATTAAAGCTCGGCCGGGACGAACTTACAGCTTTTTTACTTGTCTATTTTCCAAACATTTCAAAAACTCATATCATTACTCAAATAGTGTGCTTCCCAATTATCTTTCTCTAAATTTTCAAACCAATGATGTTGTAAAACTGTCACTCCAAATATTGTTCCCTTTTTTTTCACCACATTCTTATCATAATGTTCCACTTT